TAGGTTCACAAACTTGGGAGTTATTTTCAAATATTCACTCTCTTCATCCCCCATACTTAATCAGTTGTCAAATCACATAAATTCTTCTTCAATATCTCCCATGTCTGTTCCCTTTTGTATATGCACATAGCCAGTATGCAAATTTACATTTTCACTCTTCCTCTGGATGAAAATAATAGCATCCCAATTGGCTTCCCTCTCTCTAATCTTGTTCCAACCCATCCTTCACACAACTGCCAAGCTGATATTCCTAAAGTACACAGCTATCACATAGGAAAATTTGACAAAAAATGAAAATGGCAAATGTTGTAATGGTAACATTGGGTTAAAGGCTATGTACCTTTTAGTGACTTTTCTGGGATAGTACCAAGTTACTTTCTGGAATGATTGGACCAATTCACTGTTCTGATAGTGACAGTATGCCTGTCTTCTCATTGCTCCTGAAATATTTACCATTTTCATCTTATGCCATAGTTACCTATTTGATGGTGTGAGGTGAAACCTGAGTCAATTTGATTTTCATTTCTCTTATTATTAATGATTTGGAGCATTCTTTCATATAGCTGTTGATAGTTTACATTTTCTCGTTTGAAAACTGCCTGTTCCAGCCCTGAAGTCAGGAGGACGTGAGTTCAAATCCGGCCTCAGACCAAACACGTGACACTTACTAGCTGTGTGACCCTGGACAAGTCACTTAACCCCAATTGCCTTAAAAGAAAAAAAAAGAAAACTGCCTGTTCATAGTTTTTGACCAATTATATATTGGGTTATGGCTCTTGGTCATATATTTGAATCACTTTTTAAATATATTAGATTTTTATCAGAGATAAATTGTGATGGTCTTTCCCCATTGAGTTTTTTCTTGTTGCATTTTGTTCATGCAAAAGCTTTTTAATTTTATATAATAAAAATGGTCTTTAATCTTTTATATTTCTTGTTTTAAAATTTTCCCCATAAATGTACCTTCTTCCACTTTCTAGTTTTTGTGTGTGTGTGAAATGTTACTTTTACATTAAGGTCACATAACCTCTTGTAATTTATTTTGGTATGTGGTATAAGTTACTTATACTGCTCAGTAAACCCTAGTTTCTGCCAAACTCCAGCCTCTTTTTCCATACTGATTTCATATTATTTCCCACCCCACCCCTCAATCAATATTTCAGCCACAATGGTCTACTTGTTCCCTAGACATGGCATTTGATGGTCTTACTCACTTCTTAACCCTTTGCAATCTGGATTTTTGACTTCATCATTCAATGAGGATAAGGAAAGGAAAACTATCTCCAAGATTACCAATGATCTCTTAATTGCTAAATCCATTTGGCCTGTTCTCAACCCTCACCGTTCTTGACGTCTCTGCAGCATTTCACACTTGAGCACCTTTTTCCTCCTGGATACTGTGCCTCTCTGGGTTTTCATGAGTTCATGACACTGCACACTTTTGGTTCTCCTATCTGTTAAGCTGCTCTTCCTCAGTCTCCTTTCCTGGATCATCTATGTCCCATCAAGTGTACCACCTAACTGTGGGAATACCCCCAAAATCAGTCCTGGGTCCTCTTCACTTATCTTTTATTCTTTCAGTGACTTCAATTCCTATGAGTTTAGTTATCATTAATAAGCAGATTCCTCCTAGATCTATATGTCTAACTCTTGTCTGTCTACATCATTGTATACTGAACATTTTGAAATGGATGTTCAAATTTCAGACTCAACATGTCCAAAGCAGAATTTATTATCTTTCCTGCAAATCCTCCTCTTTCCATTTAAAGCCATTTGCCATCTAGTTTAAGTCTACATTTCCAGGCTTATTTTACATTATTCCATTTCACAAACTATATCCAACCAAACCAGTCCACTTGCTATTCAACCATGACATTCTGTCCCCTGCCTTTGCACAGGGCTGACCCCCATACTTGCATTGCATTTTCTCCTCTCCTTCACTCTTTAGAATTATTAGCTTACTTAAATGTTTAATTTATTCATTATCTTTATATTCTTAGCACCTAATACAATGCCTGATACATAGTAGTCCCTTGAAAAAAATGTTTGTTGATTGACTCACAGATCACCTTCTACTTGAAGTAATTTCTAATCCCCTAGTTGTTAGTGATCACTCTGTCTTCAAAGTCCTACTTTTTCTTATCAGGATGTATGTCTTATCATTCTGGTAGAAAGCTCTTGAGGAAAAGGACTTTTGAATTTTGCTTTGTTTTTGAATCCCCAATGTAGAGTATAATACTTTGTATACAGCAAGCACTAATACTGTTGGATTGAATCAGTCACAGAATGATACAGAATGAGGTATAGGTAGGGTAAAGACATTGTTTTGTTCTTGCCAGACCATGTAGTGATCCTAAGCTGGAATGGTAATAGAAGTTTTAACCTGTTGTTTTTCTGGTCTGGGCTGCTTTGCTCCTCCTTAGGAAGCTTGGTGGCTTTGCTCTTGAGGGATTACCACATTGTACTAGACCTAGGGAGGATGCCCATTAGCCTTAGCCCTATTGCAGCTCAAGAACACCTGAGCTCAATCCCCTAGCCTCATCCTCCCCAGCAGCAAGGACTACAGGTATAGAACTCATTTTATTAAAAATATTTATTTTAATCCTTTACTCAAGTCATCCTCTGATGGCTCATTATGAGTGGAGCTGATCCTGGATTTTTGAATGCTGTATCAGCTTAGTTAGATACTACATCAAGCTGGAAAGGTCTCATATGTGGGCCCAGTGAAAGACTATTATTTCTATTTTCTAAGTACCAGCCTAAGTCAGAGAAGCTCATCATCAGACTAGCCATAGGGTGGAGAATGTTTTGGCCACAGCAACTCTTGAAGACTATCTAGGAAGCCATATAGAATGGATGTGAGTTGTATCAGGGAAGGATCACAACAAAATCACAGAGATACTCTTTAAGTATTCTTATGTTTATATAAAAACATTAACAGTTCATTTTTAGGGTTTTATTTGGAGATTTACTTCATTTTGTTGTGAATGCTAAGTTTGTAATCACAAAAATAGATGAATAAATAAAACTTATCTTTATGGTTTGGGAGATTGATTACTGTGTTATTCTCTAAATGATTTATGTGAAATTCAGTTTCACACACACATATACACACACACCCATATATATGTATATGTGAAGAGCCCAAAACATTCATGTTGTATGAAAACCAATTGACTCCCTGTCAGGGACTTATTAAATTAAAACATATTTTTGACCACATCTAAAAAAAAAGGCAAAAAGCCAATATACAATAGGTACAAATTATATACATTTATTTTTAATCATTTTAAATAACACTCTTGTATAAATTCTTTCATATATTCAAATCATACACATTTTTAGAAATTTATTTTGAAGCTAGTACAGTAAATGTGTGAGACATCTTTGTAAATCTGTGTTAGGATTTTAGTGAGATAAAGAGAAGTTCATTTGTTGCTTCAGAGAGACATTTATCACAATAGGTCAACTGGATGACTAGCAGAGCTCTTGTGCCTTTAAGTTAAATTTAGCTTTAAATCATTAAGTTTGACTTAGGCTTGGGACCTGGCTTCATATCTTTTAGTTGATATAAGTTATTTAGTATGTGTAAGTATGACTTTTATCTGATGGAATAAGGATGATACAATTACAACAGCCTTGGAAAATACTTCATTCAACCACTGATACCTTATTGATCAAAAGCCTGGTCCCTAGGATATCATTTGATTCTTTCAGACAAGTTCTTATTAGTGAAAATGGCTCTTGCTTTTCCCCTGGGCAGACATCAGCTAATATCCAGAGTGTAGACTTTCAACCCTGCAAATAACTGTCCTGTTACTGATCTGTCCCACCCACCCACCCAAAGAAGACCAATCATCTCTCCATTTACAAAGGATTTTTGGGAGACTTGTCAGGGTTTCTTTTCCTTCTCTGGATTATTTTCACCTTTCTGCCCTACCTACCTAAAATGTCTTTCAGAACTTTTCCATGAATGGATGAGTTTTATTTTCTTAATGCACATGAACCAGATGATGCTCAGTGTATAATGGTAAGTAATTCAAATGATGATACGTGTTCCTTAATCAAGAACTATCTTCCTTGAGGGATGGGAACATAGATCAACATATATCCTAGGAAGTACCCCCACCTCTATCTCTACAGGCCCAAATCAAATGTCCTATAGTGCTAATTTCAATTCAAGATGCAAAGTAAGGGTCACTGCTTTAGGTCCCTGATTAAAAGGAAGAATCCTAGACAGGATGTATATTTCCTAAGATCTCTGAGGCCAGAAATCATGAGCACAGTAGACATATATGTGGTATGATTTAAGATCCCCAATCCAAAAATCTTTCCCTTCTATCCCCAACATCCACTATCCTCTTTATGTGGTAACATATTGAGTCCCTAAGACAATGAAATTAATTTGTCGATGAAGGAGTTATCTGGGAGTGGAAAAAGCAAGGTATCTGGAGACTACTGGATATTTGGGGTCCAAAAGGTCTAAGAGAACAAAGAAAGGGTAAATGATATTCAGTAGAACATGCAATGCCTTGCATATAGTAGACACTCAGGACACAGTTAATCTATTTAGCAATTTTGCCTAGAGCTGACCCCATTTGGGAATCTACTTCCTGAAATGATGATAGAGGTGGCAGCGATAACATCATCACCTGGTAGCAATCAGCATCTGCTTTTTTTCCCAATCAAATTCACATAAGGTAGTTTTGTCTTATTTAGTGATACACTAATTGTAAAGATTTCTAACACCTGGATTCTTCCAACCATTGGGTTTTCCAAATCATGTTCACCATCCTATAGTTTATGAAGACCTTTTCCCTTATAGGAGTTGATGATGTGTAGAGAAGTCATATTCATTTGTTAGTTTGTAAAATTATAAACTCCAGGGCTTCTAACTTCAAAAATTGATTTGATTTCTTTTGCATACTATTGCAAGTAGTGGCTCAGATTTTAAGTGATTATTACAATAAAGAATCATTTCTAAAAGCAAAGCTAGGGGATACTAAAACATTAAAAGACATTTTATTGGCTGGAGTTACATACACAGGGTGGTATGTGTGCAGGGGAGAATGGGAGTAGTAGCTGATAAGCACTTTCAGTTGTTTACCATTCCTTTTTTAAGGGCTCTATTCTAATATCCACATGTGGATAAAAGACCTGACTGCCTGGATCAAACTTTTAGAAGCTTAAAATTCACTTTATTTCCTAAGTAACTTAATTCTATTCACAAACACTGAATTCCTCCTGTGTCTGTTTTGTTTTAAAAGAACATAAGCTGGCAAGGTGGACATCTTATTAGTTTCATAAATAGAATCAACATCAGTTTCAGTGGAGTCCAACTATGGACTGGAGCTCATCAATGGTGTGTTCCTCTAAAACAATGGAAAATCCTTACAGATGACTTCACCTGTCTGTGAAATTTCCCCCTATTTCTGGTGGCCATGACTGAACGTAGAAATTGACCATCCGTTCTCCCCCCAAGCAACTGCTATTAGGCCACAAGCAGTAAGTAGACTAGGTATCAACTAAAACACCAGCAAAATCAAGGGACTGACCTGGAAGACCTTCTATAGAGTGGTATCTTAGTGCTAGACTTGAACTAGCCTTTGACTATGATCTCATCTAGAGAAAAAAGTCCACTTGAATTCCTCTTTCGACATACTGCTCATTCCATATTGCTTATTGATATCAGTACTCAGAATCACAGAATTCTATACCTAGAAGGGACCTTAGAGATTATATAGCTGAATTGTCTTCTCTACGTAGATAAGGAAATTCAGGTTCATAGATGTTTAGTGATTTAGCTAAGTCATACAGCTAATTATCAATAGAGCAGGAACCAGAATGCAGGTCTGCCAACTCTTAGTCCAGGACCTTTTCCTATATACCCTGCTGCTGCTTCCTTTACCTCTCAATATTTCTTTTAAAAAATCAGCTTGATTGATGGTTTTAACCTGTGTCCAAATGGCTGCTGTGCAGTCAAGACTTTACTTTTTTGTAATATGCTTTGAGACCTGGTTTCCAAGCATACATCATATCTTTAAGTGGGGACGGTGCTTGGACATCTCGCTGCATTGTTACTTTATACATATAGTCACTCTTGGAATGGTGTGTGAAGAAGGGATGGATCAGTATATGTTGTAGTTAGTGAGCACTTTATATCCCTCCAGGCCCAGTCTCCTAACCCCCCGCTATGCAGCAAGAGAAGTAAAGAGCCTATGCAAATTGGACAGCTTGTTATTGCCATAATAAGCAGATCAAAATTGGCACAGTGGACCAACATTTGAGTGAGAACATTTTTTTTGAGGGGGGAGAATTAAAATGTAGACATTTTATAGACAAGAAGAGTAGAGGCCCCTGGTGATATGACAATAACCCTTCATTTCTTTTGAAATGAGGATTCCCCCATTTCCTTTGGAAGACTACCATTTGCATCCAGGAGACTACTAGCAAAATGAAATTTATTTATCAACTACCATTTTACATTCATCTACATGATGTAAAATTAGATGCTTATGAAGACTGAGATAGTATCTCATTAAGTGAGAAGTGACCAGATTTTGCAATCCAAGGTAGCCCTTGACTTCAAAATCTACTGAACCTTATTTCTCCACTATATTTAACTATTCACATCCTTTTTAAGTCAAAAGGTGGGTAATTCTAAGGCTGAATTGCAGGAAGGAGGGACTAAAGGGTGAGAAGATAATAGAAAAGAATACTCAATCTCTTAAAAATTGCCCATGATGTCCATAGAGGAACTTAAAATGATCGATATTCACCAGAGTCCCAGCTCCAGCAATATTGCCATCTATTTTACAGTATTTTAACCAATTCTTGTATTTTCTTTTTTACAATGCCACTAACTTCTGCTGTACAAATAAATTCTAGATGATAAAATATGACATGATTTTTTTTTTTACAAATAGTTACAAATGCAATGTTGATAAGATATGCTACATTATCTATATACACATTGTTTCTAGGAGGCTGGGGCAGTGATAACAAACTGAGACCCTGAGGGGGACCATCGGCTTCCTCATCGTGGATACTGCTTCATTCTCTCTTCTAGCCCAAGAATCTTGCCCTGCACTTTACTGTATCACTAAGTGATAATTCAGTAAGGAGCAACTTTCCAAGAATCTCTTTAGGATTCATTTGTCCCCAATTCCAGAAACAATAGAGAACTGCTTATTGCAATGCTTGTGGCTCATCAGTTTTTTCTCATTGAAATCTCTCAGAAGAGTAAAATGGAGATCCATCCCTGCCCCACCTTGAAAAGAAATGTGTATTAGGAATGTATATGAAGACTTCCGACAGTCCTTTTCCTCCTAAACAAATATCAGTCATCCTGTGGCAGACTGCTTGGTGGACACTGGCTTCCCCAGGAGCTTCTCAGGAAGTTGGATACGAGATTCACTACAGAATTTGGTCTTGCTACACACTCCTGCATGGCTGGGTACAAAAATATATTTTGCTTCAAGTCCTTAACAACAATGAATTGTAGGGATCTTCTTGGGGAAATGAAGGATGTCAGGCTGAAGGCATTACAAATTTTTACCTGAAATTTTGGGATGCACTACACACCTTTGCTTTTTTAGCAAGCAAGGCCAGGCTCTGCCCCTGGGCACCATTGCTGCTGCTGCTCCTCTTAATAAGCACTGTAACTTTAGCAACACTAGAGGAATTTGGTTCACTCTGTTCAGGTCTTAAGCTTTATAGTTATGCATGGGAGTCGTGAGCGTTAGCTGTCCATTGGGAGCCACCTCATTGCCATCGTCTTCCAATAAGCCAGACACGTCAGCATTGGGGATGCTGTCATGGTAACTGCTGAAGCTGATGTTGTCTTCTTTCAGTTCAATGGTCCAAAAGGGGGCATTGAGTTTTCGGTTTTGATACTCCCTGTATGTGTACACAGCCCCCACAAATCCCATGAGCAGAACCACCACAATGATGATGACTGTCAAAATGATGATGTTGAATTGAGTCCATGACACATCAGCTAATGCTGAGGTGCTATTTTCAGAAGATCCTATTGAAAAGATAGGCTGCAGAGTGGTGGGGGTAAATGTACTATTTGCAACCGTAGTGGGTGGTGATGTAGACAAAGTGGCATTAGAAACCAAAGTGGTAGACCCTTCAGTCGTAGTAACAACAATTTCTGAAAATAAAGACAGAAAATGAGCAATAAAACAGAATTATCTAGCTTTGGAGAAGACTATAAAAGATCTCTACAAGAGATCTTAGAACAAAGAACATCAAGATATAGATTAGCAGATCTGGAAGAGACCTTGGAGGGCATTTTGTTTAGTAAATGAGGAAACTGAGAGTCAGAGAGGTTAAATAACTAGACCAATATTGCACTGCTAGAATTCCACCCTAGGTATCATGATTCCCAGTCTACTGCTCTTTCAGCACAAAAGTGTTCTTATCAATGAACTAACATTAAAAAGGAAAGTACTATTTTAAAAAATAAGCATCTTGATAAGGACTAGGGCCTCAAAACCTAGGATGATGAGTGTTACATACATGACTGGCATCTAGTGCATAGATATAGCCACCTTAAAATCTTCAGGAGAATTCCATAGTAAGTATCTTTCAAGATCCTCTTTGGTGGATTAGTATAAATTCTTCCAAGTCAGTGAATATGTCATTACTGAGACCTAAAGCCTATGTTAAGGTAGGTAAAGAGGATGTATCTATATGGAATTCCATGGTAAGCACTTGAACTCAGGTAATGCTAACATACCTTGAGGCTTTTCACAAAGGCAGTAGAGCATAGTAGAATTGGATTTAAGTCTCAGATTTGCCACTTATTAACTATATAACCTAGCAATGAATGTCATCTCAGTTCTTTGGGCCTCAGTATCCTCTTCTATGAAATGGAGATAATAATATTTGTACTATTTACCTCAGAGACTTGTTACAAAAATCAAATGAGATATTAGAAGTGAAAGTATTTTATAATCAAACTATATAAATGTAGGTTATTAATCTAATAATACCTTGAGCATCCTGACATTCTCAAGCTACTATATACCATCCATCAATTTATCTAAATCTGTGGTGACTTTTTATTTTCTACATGCAAAAAAAAAAGCTTTTGTTACACGATAACTTATTTTGAATAGCAAAATGCGTCATATTCTCCCATCTCTCCAGCTAGGAAAATAGTACAGTGTAGTAGAAAACTGGACTTGAAGCCATAACAACTAGGGTTTGGATTACAGCAGTCCCACTTACTAGCCATGTTGCCTAGAACAAGTCATCTAAGTTGACTTAAATCTCAGTTTCCTTTTCCATAAAGTGGGGATAATAATTACTTGCATTAAATAACTTTAATTCTTTGACTCTCAGTTTTCTTATCTGTATAAGGCTGTCATGAGCAACTGCTTGCTAAATTGTTACACAAATACGGGAGACCATTATTTTAATTATTATGATAAAAACTAATGGTGATAATAACAAGAAGAATTCAAAGACAGCTCCTGGAAAAGACTGTAGGCTGTCCGTGAAGTGTTCTAACTATCAAACTATAGTCCTACTTGGAATGAACTTAGATGAGATTGCTAGATGCAGTGTGAAAATATAGAGAACAAAAGATAAGAAGAATAAGCAGATATCTTAATTATTAATATGGAAACAAAACAGGCCAAACGGAAGGGTGTGAAAACCACACAATGACAGCCTAAGTACCAAAGCAAAACTCAATTTTCCTGAGTTTATAATGGAGGTTTAGGAGGGGTGCAAGCAAATTAGAAAGAAGGGAAATTTCCCTGAGAAATTATATGACAAAATCCACTTTTGGAATCCATGAACATAGAGATATGAACAGTTCATTTTGCTGCTGCCAGTGCTCAGATAAGCATTAAGTAAATGGAAACAAAATTTTCGCTACTTGGAAACAGCAGTCAAAGATGCACTCATTTTAGGATTTCCTCTTGCTTTTGAGGAAAGTCATAGCAATTGAATTTGCTAGAGACTCTCTGAGGTCTAATCTTTTTATTTTTATCTCCCACACTACTCTCCAAATGATGGCCATATGTATATAGGATATTCAAACATCAAATCTATAGATATAAAATCTTGCAGAAGCATTGCTTGAATGGAGGGGAGGAAGTGGGAAGGGACAGTGGTGGTAGAAATGGGGAAGAGTGTTGTTGGGGCTAAAGAGAAACTATGGTTGATTTTACGGTGAACAAGGATGAGTGGGCTCTTCCTGAAGGTGTTGCTAGGAGACTTAGAATTTATACTCTTAGCTGAGGGTTTACCTTTCTTGATACAGTTTCCTTTGAGGTCTCTAACATAACCTTCCCAGCAGTTCTCACAGTGAAAGCCAGTGGTATTGTGGAGGCAGTCAATGCATTCACCGCTCTCTGGCTTGCAGATCTTCGGAGTTTTAATAGAGTCCACATGGCCACCACACTCACACTTTAAACAGATGCTGTCAGAGTTGTAATAGCCATTTTCACAGGCATTACAGTTTAGACCTGTGTAACCCTCTCTGCAGCGATCACATCTAGGCACCAACTCCCCTGAATCTAAAAGAGACAAAATATCAACATGTTTTAAAATGTAGGCCTAAAAAATAACAAAAAAATTCTAATCCTGAAATATGTTTTGTTTTGGTTTTGACCAATTCTAATCCTACTTCCTACAACCCAATACCAAGAGATATACAGTGTGAAATTAATGAAATCAGTATTAATTATAATACATTTGAATTCTAGAACAGTTCTGCCAGTAATTTGTATGTGACTTTAGGTAATTCAGCCCCCTTCTTTGGGTTTCAACTTCACAGAATCACAGAGTTTGAAAGTTGAAAAGGACCTCAGCAGCTTATCTGTCCATCGCATACCCCAATGGAGGCCCTGTTATCATATATCTGACAAGTAGTCATTAAGCCTCTGTGAGGTGCTAAGGAGGGCAAAGAGGGCCCCTCCAAGGGGCAGCCCACTTCACTTTGGACCTCTCTAATTGTTAGGAAGTCCTTGATATCAACCTAAATTTACCTCTTTGCAACTTCTACCCACTGTTCTTGGTTCTTCCCTCTGGGGCCAAATGAAATAAATCTAATCTTTTTTCTTCATGATTCTCTCACATTTTTGAAGATAATTTTAATCCCACCCCTACCCACCCCCCTACTCCCTTATATCTTTTTTTTTTCAGGCTAAATGTATCCAGTTTCTTCAACTGATCTTATGACATAGACTCAAGGCCCTTCGCTATTTGGATTGGACAACTCTGCACACTTTCTAGCTTATCAATGTTCTTCTTAAACTATGGTACTCAGTACTGATCACAATACTTCTGGTGTGATATGACCAGGAGTACAGTGGTATTATCATCTCCATATTCCTGGAAGCCATGCTTCTATTACTGTTGTCTAAGACTGCATTAGCTTTTTTGGCCGCCATTGTTGACAAATGAGGGAACAGTACTAGGTGCTTTCTATAGGACCTATCCATTCAGCCAAAAAGCATTTATTAAGCACTTACTATGTGCTAAGCAATGACACAAACACTCTGACACCTTACTACATTCTAGATTCTGAAGCCCCTTATATTCCAAACTTTCTATGCTGCAAGGTCCCTTCCAACTCAAATATTTTAGGATTTAATTATTCTACCAGCTACTTGGCTTCCAAGGAATATGAGGGAGAAATCTGGGTTATCTATTTCAGCAGGAAAGGAATGAAATATGCTCAGAAAGAGAGTCTGAATAATAGCAACATATCAGAGGTACCTAATTAATTTTTAGTCCTAATAGATATAATAAAGTAGGGCTTTAACAATAGTTGACAGAGTAGTGATTGGTTCCATAAACCATCTGCAGAGGCAGATTATATTGAATAATATTTGGCAAGCTGCCTGTTCCTACTAGGTAATATGATAAAAGTTTCAAAACTTCAAAGTAACTGACTGTGTATGTGAATTCGTGTTAAATAACTGGGATAGACTTCAATAGTTTACTTTGGCATAATAAAGAAATTAGGAAGGATATAGCAAGTTATCAGACTAAAATTTCATTCAGGGCAGAGAAATGCTTCCAAGGCAGAGCTCTGACACAGGAACCATTAGCCATTTTATAGGATTAATGATATTACCCATAGCAGTGAGAATACCACCTAAATAAATACTTGTCTGGATAAAATCATCCTGTTATGGCAAGTTAATGATCATATGAAATTGTGCCTATCTATTCCATATCTGTATTAATTTTGATTTCTGAATTTGTTCATGGTATTTTAGAGTTAGAAGTGGACACCTTAAGGGCTATCTACTCTATTCCCCTTATTTGGCAGTTGAAGAAATTACAACAGTAAAGCGATTGGTTACATAGGCAGAAGAGGAAAAGCCAGACTCAGTACAAGAGCTCTGGGTCCAAACTCAGCACTCTTTCCCCTGTACAAGGCCAGTTTTCATCTGGGCCAATAAAGGAGTTTAATTCACCATTTAATAGTCAAACTAGACAGTTTTGTAAGTTGGGTATATCACAATATCTGGCCTGCGATTTTCTTATGTGTACACTAAAAGGATTGGACTAGATGATCTCGAAGGCCTCTTCCAACTCCCTGTGACCCTGTGATCTTACAAAACAGAAGGATGGAGCTGGAAGGTGCTTCCTAGATTATCTAGTTTATCCCGCTTATTCCAGGTATGATATGATCAGGAGTACAGTGGTCTTATCATCTCCTTATTCCTGGAAGCCATGCCTCTGTTACTGTTGTTGCAAAACTAGGAGGCAGCAAAACCATGGAGGCTGTTTACTTTCTTATGAGACCACCTTACACTTGTATAGAGCTTTGAAAATACTGTACATACACTATCTTACTTGATATTCACAATGACCTTGTAAAGTATTGCGGGGGCAAATTCCTTAACATCAATGACTCTGTCTAATTAATCTAATTTTTCTTTCCCACCAGCAGTACCTAGAGTACAGTACTTCAGCAAATGGTTTCTACTACAAATGTTAACTACTGTAAATGTTAAAACTTGTCTAGAATGTAGGTTTATGGAAAAGCCTTACGTATGAAACAGATGCCAGTAGATGTCACTGCTGAGCAAGGGCACCGAAGACATTTATGCAAGGCAGTGGGACTCTTATAGAAACCATCTTTGCATCCTTCACAGTGGTTTCCTTTGCTGTTTCCTTGGCAGTTCAAACAGGTACCTGAAAGAAATTATTTAAAAATATTTAGAGGTGCAGGGGGCTCTTGTTTGTTTTACTCAAGGTAAAACTTAGTAATTCAATTTGACAAGCATTTATAATAAGTGCCTACTAAATGCCAATGCTATGCTATGTCATGGGAATGGGAAGAGAATAGGAACTTTTATAAAGCATTTGGGTTACATAATTATAAGTGTCTAAGGCCAGAATTGAATTCAGGTCTTCTTTACTGTAGACCGGGGTTCTATCCACTGTGCCAAAGCTAAATAATCCCTATTCTTAAGTACCTTACCTTCTACTATGATGGGGATAAGGTGATAGAGCATGTACGCACATGATAGGATCATGGGATCAGAGGTGATAAATAAATACAAAGTAATTCCAGGGGTGGGAAAACACTGACAAAACCGAAGCGATCAGGAAAGGACTTTAGGAGGAGGTGTCAGGCAGTGAGAAGGGAGAACATATAGGCATGCTTGACAGCCTGGGCAATAGTGCAGAGGCAGGAGATAGAACCATGAACTTTTTCTTGTACATGTTTTAAAGAATGTATACTTATATACTAATAAAGATTAGCTGAACTTGACTGAGTTCTAGTGCTAGCCTTAAAAATCTGTTTCTCCCTAAATATTATAGTTTACTATGTAAATATACTAGTAAAATTAAATATTTCTGAAAGGAAAGAGATATACATATATAGGAATATACTGAAAAGTAACACCAATTGTAAATCACTCTCAGGTTATATTTGAGCTAGATTAAGAGGAGAAGTAAAGACTATATTCAGTCCAATAGGAGTTTGTTTGCTTCTGGAGATCTGTTTTGGTGTGGAGGAATCTAGACCTCAGATATCACTGATGTGGGCTCAACTTCTGATGTGGACTCTCTCCCCACAAATGCAGACTGGCAACTCATCTGAAATTTATAGTTGTAGTTGGCATGGGGCATTGAGAAGTTAAATTACTTACCCAGGGTACAAAGCCTGTGTCAAGGGCAGAACTCGAATCTAGGCCTTCCTAACTGTAAGAATGACATCTACTATACAGTCTCTAAACAACCGAAAATGTCTGCTGATCAACTTTAGATTTTAGTTCTAAAACTTAATTCTAGCTTTCAAATTTTTCTGTTCTCTGAATAAACAGAGTACATTACACTGCATAGATTATTTCTTTTCAATAACAGTCTGGTATATGTGGGATGGATGGGGGGTGGAGCAAGATAAGTCAGGTGAGAGAGGTGATCAAAGTCATAGTTATAAACTCTGAGGAGGCTCTTTTTGGGGGAGGGGCTTTTCTTCTGAAGATTGACTGAACTATCCTCTTCCCATCTTCGAATTCCCCTTCCCCATTTAAAAATATGCAGGGATATGGTTTTATGAAAATGCATTCAAGATAAGCTGCTGGGCTATAAGTCCTGATCTGTCAAAACCCAAATGCTAATGCTCAAACAATGGGCCATTGGGAGAGGTTTCTATGACATCCCAATCATTTTGGCATACCTTGCCCAGCCCTGTCTAGAGAAAGGCAAGCTGGCAGCCCTTCAAAGACAATCCAAAGAGTATTAAGCCTGAAAGTGACCTTATTGATTACATAGTCCAATCCCATCCTCATCTTCATTTTGATGGAGGGGAAACTGAGAATAGGAGAGGGGATAGAGTCCACTCAAATTTACACCATTAGCTAGTGATGCCAGAATTAAAATCCAGATATCCCAATTCCTAATCCAATGCAGTATCTACTACATCAGGACTCACAATCAAGAAGGCCTTAAGGAAATAATTCCTCTCATTTCTGTAGTTCTTTAAGGTTTATGAAACTACTTATGTATTATTCACAATAATCCTAGTACTGGTCATGTATTTTCTTTATTTTATGCATAAGAAAATGGAGATTCTGAGTCACCCAGTTCAGATATGTCAGAGATTGGACTTGAACCTTCTGATTCCAAGTCCAGAGCTCTTTCTATTTATATTACATTGTGATTGTAATAAAATTTCCTTGGTGAGGGAGGGAAGAAGTATTTAAGCAACTCAGGTATTCATTAATGGTCTAGTCCTTTAGTAGTCAATTGGCAGGAGAGCCACATTTGATATTAAAAATACATATTGTGCCATAATAAATGTTTGGCCTGAATGGCATGTGGAATCCAATTAGGCTTAAAATTATGAAAGTTGTTTTGTTTATGTGCTAACTTGCTATTAATTTGTATGTGGGCCCAGAATATTTGCAAATACCACAGTGCATTTTATTCAATAAAATCATTTATTTCAAAACATTATGAAGAGTTTCCAGAACAAACAGCATCATATTGCTGTTTTGTTTGCATTATCCCTACCTTGCAATTAGAACTCCATAAAAAATATGTCCTGGATGCTTGCATATGCAACATAGTGAAGTGACAACATCAGAACTTAAAACCCATGGTTTCTATGTAACACAATGTGAAATACAAAAAGAAAAAAATCAAATATTGCAACTGCTTTAACAACCCAACCCCCCACCTTGGCCCATAAGCCTCATTTGGTTCCCCATTCTGCCCCTTTCACTGGAAAACTACAGTGCTTCCCTTCCTCCTTTTGGTCTTTAAAGCTCTGCTTTGGTCCTGCTCAGTTTTATGCTGTGATCTTCCATAAATGCACTCAAGTGTTCCAAATCTCTCTTCTCATTTGTCAAATTTAATAGGATTATTTCTGTCCATATGAAGGGCAAAGTAAATGGTAGGAAAACCTTCCACTTTGTAGAGGTTGTTGGTCACATCATTGGCGGTGGCAACCATCATCACTATTATCAGGTTTTTCTGATGCTTATATTTCTTCCCCAGTTCAGTATTCACACCATGGGGCATAGAACTCTATGAGAATGTCTAACTTGGGGTCCATCACAAAGGAGTAAAAAGTCTTACCTACTACAATAATTTCAGGTTCTTTATTGTTTTGGGGCACAGGTTGGGATTTGATGATTGCCTTTAGTTTTCCTTTTTTGAATGCTAAAACAAAGTCTCGGAGTATATCAGAATCAAATTCCTCTGGTTCTATGGCATACTTTTTGGTACCTTCTGCTGGGATAGCTAGTTGACATCTTCACTGCTGTTGCTAGGTCCCAAGTCCTTCATTTCAGAGGGGTAGTCATCCTCATCAGTAATGGCAAATGTGTACTCAGGGAAGTTTTTTGTTTGTTGTTGTTGTTATTGTTCAGTAGCATCTGACTGTAACTCCATGCACCATAGCATGCCTGACCCTTTCATCCCCCACTATCTTCTGAAGTCTGTCTAAGCTCGTGTTCACAGCTTCTATGACAGTATCTATCCATTTCTTCTTCTGCTGTCCCTTTTCCTTTTGCCTTCAATCAAGTCCATGGCAACTTCCAAGACCTTGTTCCTCTAGTCCTGAGTGGCAACTCTATAGTCAAAACTGAAGTTCGCAGTATAATAGACTATCATCAGAGAACATTTAGCATATCTCTTGGCATTATTGGAAATTGTTCAATAATCAACTAACAGCACAGCGTGCTTCACCACATGGTCTCTGATGGTAGCTCCTTCAGTAGGTTTCTCAGTGTCTAAAACCTTGATTTTTCATTCATATTTGAAGTAAAATTTTTCTGGCTGCATGACAATCAATTTTCCAGAAGAGACATTCAGGAATTTTGCAACTTCATTGTTGAAAATATGGTGGAATTTATAATCTTCCCTTATGTTGATCACCAAATGTTAGCGTTATAAGGGACCCTAGAGATCATCTACGGGGGGTGGGGAATCAGTGACCTCGAAGCCACATGTGGCCCTCTAGGTCTTCAAGTGTGGCCCTTTGACTGAATCCAAACTTCACAGAACAAATCCTCTTAATAAAAGGATTTGTTCTGTAAGACTTGAACTCAGTCAAAAGGCTGCACCCAAGGACCTAGAAGGCCACATGTGACCTCGAGGTCACAGGTTCCCCGACTCTGATTTGAATTTAGGTCTTCTTAACTTTTTTAGTAAAAAGCCCATCTATGATATTTTCAATTCAGTCATGAATATATGCAACAATTAAAGACTAATGCTAGGTAGTACACTCATATGTGTTAAATAGTATGAAACAGAAAGTAAATACTTCTATGGATTTGTTCTGTGAAGTTTAGATTCAGTCAAAGGGCCTCACTTGAGGACCTAGAGGGCCACATGTGGCTTCAAGGCCACTAGTTCTTCACTCCTGATTCTAGTCTAATCCCCTCATCTTTACAGATAAGGAAACAGACTTAGAGAAGTAAAGTCAATTATTCAAAAACACACAATTCAGTAGGATAGCCGGAACCAGAGCACTCATCTAAGTTCTATTCCATCCATAGATTTTTTTTCATTTACAGTAGCTTATTATCTGTAGAGGAAATGGCATAGCAAGGCTAACCTGATTCAATTTCTTTTCCCTTAAACAATGTGAATATCAAAATTTTAGGAACCACCCAGTGTGGCAACAAAGCATGTTTCAAATCAAACAAGAAGAAGGCTTTGGTTCTGTTCTCCCCACTGAACATACTACTTCTCACTCATAAGTCTGGATGTTCAGTGAGGTATATTACCCATTTCAAGTCATAAATGGGCCAATGGATATAGTTCCCAAAATTGTCCATTTGTGATATGAAAGAGTTAATGTGCTTCCTGGAAACTGAATCTACTACCCTGGAATGATGCAAGTCTGGAGAGAATCTGGTTCCTTGAATAAAGGCATTGTTGTTTTTAAGGAATTCCAAATGGAATAATTAATCCTCAGTAATTCTCACTAATTGAATGGAAGGCTGATATGAATTACTGACAAATTTAATTTACATAGAAATGTTGTTTTAACAATTTTAAGTAAGCTTCTGACATCTTCTGGAGTACTGTGTCCAGTGGAGTTATGTTTTAGGAAGCATATCAGCAAAATGGAACACATGCCCTAAAAATGGCAACCAGGACAGTGAGGGGACTGGAAACCAGAACAAGTGAGAATCAATTAAGGAAGAATCAAAACTGAAGAAAGACTTATA